CCTTACCTGTGAATGTGTTGCCTCCCTTGTATCTCAAACTTCTGAGGGCCTCTAATACTTCATCACGTGTAGAGTATGTGTTGAGGTCCCATTCTGTGCGTGGGTCACTGCTGTATTGGGACAAGCCTGGAAGTAAGCAAGAGAAGCCAACAGAAAGCTGTCAGAAGGGAAGTCTACAAAAAAGCAAGGAAGTCTTTAGCAGCCAGTTGGACAGAACACCAGCATTGGTCCTCTTCATGGGCAATTCTATCTGCTTACGAAGTTGGATGCACAGAGCTTTGAAATAGCATCTTAGGGTGCCATCAGATGGGCATTTAGTCTGCTGTTTTGTTCTCTGTACAGACCAGTTGGTTCACGGCTTTTTCTCATGATCACACAATGTAACTTCAAGAGCAAAGCAGCCCACCCCCAGAATGTTCCGCCCTGCACCTTTTTGGGTCAGGGGCTACTACTTTTTGGTGCAGGTAGGATTTTGCTTCATTTTGGTTCATTTCCAGTGTGTGCGATCACAGGAAACAAACCAAAATGAGCTTGGGGCTGTCAAGACTGTAATATCATAAAGTGGCTTAAGGAGTCAGCCACTTCAGGATATTAGCAAATTAAATACTTCCTCTGCTCCATGGGAGGGCAGAGGAAGTGAATAATTTGTTATACTTTATTAGGGTAGTGCAGATGTGCTGTATCACGTATAATTTTTTTAAAAAAGAATTGAAATTTCTTCCAAAAAGTGGGAGAAGACAGGAGAAACCAGTGAAGGGATTTTTTTTTCCATTTGTGACTTTTCTTAAATGCTGAGTCAAGAACTAAATCTTGACACAGCTAAATCCATCATCTAGTACCACATTGAAGTTAAAACCGTTACTTTTGGGTTAACAGGAAAAACAAGCCAAACTGATGTATCTAAAGAATAACATTTGGAAAAGAATTCCATTGGAGATGTATCATTACGGAAGAAAAATTGTGTAAGTCACAGTGGCAAACTGTCGTTACTCACAGTGTGCTGGTTGCGCTCCTGGATATGTGCCCAGGAATGCAAGCTGCACTTTCTTAATGCGTAGCAATTTGCTGCCACAACTTACACAAACTCTGTTGCACTAGTACAATCGCTAACAGAATTCTGGACAGTGTTTTAATGTTTTAGTGATGTATATCTCCTGCTTAACTCAAAAGCAATAATTTTAGCTTTAAAGAATTGCTGTATTTTTCCATGTATAAGATTATACTTTTGTCTAAAATCTCTAGACTAAAAATTGAGGGTCGTCTTCTACATGGAAGTAAGCTGAGAAGAGAAGCAGGGATCAAAGCGATCCTGCAGCGCTTTGATCCCTTTCCCCCTACACTTGCTAATCCCCACTTAGATTTCTTAATTTTAGATTAGAAAAATGGGGGGCGTCTTAGACATGAGGGCATCTTATACATGGAAAAATACGGTAACTTTCACAGGTCATTTACAATCTCCACAGCTGAGCTATAGGTTATAAATCCAAATCACCACAAAGAAGTGATGTGGAAATTTGTGTGGTCCTCATATTTAGAGACTGGCCGTTAAAAAAACGATGCTCACCTACTCACCTACTCTTATCTTGTCCCGGGCAATGTTGAAAGGCGCAACCAAAGATGCCAGGAATTCTCTGATAAGTCCAAAATTGTTGCGCCCAATACTCCAGGAACCATCCACAAGCAGAATGATATCAGTCATGGCAGAGGTATCACACTGGAAGGGGGAAACTATGAAAAGAGAATGGGTTCACCCAGGGAAAAGAGGTAAGTATCTGAAATTCTGATTTAAATGAAACCATGTATTTGAATCGCTGTATCATTGAACAGAAAGAAACAAAGCCCAATTATTAGCAGAGATATTACTCCCAGAATATCGCTGTAAAGTCAGAACTTACACTTAACATATTTTTATCCATGTATTTATTATGGGATCTATACTCCATCCTTCAGTAAGAAGGTAACTTGGAATTAACTTGTTAAATTTAAGCAGGAACTAATTGAATAACCCCACTTCCCAAGGAGGCTTGTTTAATTGATTTGTTGGTTAACACCATTTATTATCAGCACTTCAAAATAAATAATTCATTGGTTAAACAGCACTCACCATCATCACATCAGTTCAACTATTTCTCTATAGTTTCTCTATTTGTGAAAACTGAGCCCCAGTATTTTAAAGGAATGGGCACCAACCTGAGAGAGATATACTCGTCAGATGCACTGAAGGGACTCACCTGGAGAAGACAACTCAAAGCCTAAAGCCCTAAATGGCTTAGGATCTGGTTACCTAAAGGACTGCCTTCTTCCATACAAGCCTGCCCGTCCTCTAAGATCAGGCCAGGAGGCCCTTCTCAAGGTGCCATCCCTGAAAGAGGTGAGGGGGGTGGCATGTCAAAATAAGGCCTTCTCAGCTGTTGCCCCCCAACTTTGGAATGCTCTCCCTAGAGAGATCCGCCTGGCCCCGACACTTTTGGCTTTTCGGTGCCAAGCAAAGACCTTTCTGTTTAGCTAGCATTTTAATTAAATAATATCCTTTAGCTGGCCGTATGAGCAGCAGGATTTATTAATATTAATGTTTTAATGATTGTTTTTAATATAGGATATTATTATCATATTGCCTATCTTAATGGTTTTAATGTTTTTACAGTTTTACTATTGCGGTACGCCGCTCAGAGACTACTAGTAATGGCGTGGCTTAAAAAAATCTTATAAATAAATGAATAAATAAAACAAACCTACAAAATGAGCACTTTTGAAGGAGCCTATAATGATCCACAACAGTAGGGGGTGATGGTGACAACTGGTGGCAAATGGAGATGCGCACAGACCGGAAAACCACATGTTCATGTTTTACCTAAGGGCTCTACTAAAATAATAGGTTCTTGAAAATGTGAGTCCTTTTTTTTTCAAAAAGGAGAGGAGGGAGGGGGAGGGAAGCCTCCACAGACCTAGGAGAAGGCCACCAATATTCCAGGTGAGCCAAAGGAGTGGGCGGAGTCTGCATGAGACTCCACTTCGAGAATGCATCTGTATGTAAGCTTTTTCCCTTCCACTGGTGGCTCCCTTTCAAGATGCCTTCGCCCTCTCTTGAGATGGCTGTGGAAAGGTGAAGGGCTCATCCCTTCATTCTCCTCCTTTTTTGGGCCTCTTTGGGAGAGGAGGAGGAGGAAGAAGAAGAGGAGGAGGAGGAGGAGAAGACAACCCTGGTGCAGGTCAAAGGGAGTGCACTACGAAGAGGTGGTGGTGGCAGGAGTCACCGTGGCCGGAGGTTATGACTGTTGGCCATCTTCAGAGCCAGCAGGCCTGGCCAACAGAGTCACGACTCAGAGTTGAGACTTGGGGCTCAAATCCAAAGACTTGCACTTAGAAATGGGACACGGGCCTCAAGACTTGGACTTGGGACTTGGGACTCGGGCCAGGGCACTTGCCAACATCCCTGGGTACCAGGCGTCTTTTCCTGGAATAGCCTGCCAGCAGCAGAGAAGCACCCACACCGCCAGATGTAGAAAAGAAACGTCCATTCAGAAAACGGGGAAAGATTTCATTCAGTCGTACACCAGCTTACAGTATGTGGCACAGAGACCGCAGGTGCGCTGCAGTCATGTGACCGGGCGATCAACATCTTCAGAAGAATGCCCTGGTGTGATTTTATACGTGCGCTGTCACCTCAATTCCATCACAGCGTTAATCCAGTTCTTTGCTCCTTCGCCAGGGCACACTTTGTGTGATAGCTTTTCCTGGCGTTCAGCTTCACTCAGCTGCCCCTTCAGGCTATATAATTTATTCAGGTGGTCTCTCCTGATCAGAGCCCATCTTCGTTTACCAATCCATGCGCTTAAATTCCCCAGTATCCCGTCCAATCAACCTACACGTTGGTTATTTTTTTTTAGTTGCTCCAGGGAATGGGGTCAAAGGAAACACAGGTAGCTGAGAACAAATGGTGCATTGGATGAAAGAGCAGTTGCTTGGCTTTCAAACAATGAATTTATCTTGATATTAGATATATGGGGAAATGTACACCAGTAAATCAGGATCTTTGTACTTGTGCACAGGGGAGTATCATATGTGGCTATTTTATCCATGATATACCATATTATCCACTGTATGATGTCTTATATGATATCTGTATGTTCTCCCCTGCTGGGCCAAGGCTTAGAAATGTTGCTTCTTTGGACTATGATGACCAGCATCCCCTGGGCACCCCTGACCAGAGTTTCTTTTCTGGATTACAACTCCAGATTCATTTTTGAACTACGTTTGCCACAATCCCGAGCTGGATGCTGGGATTTGCAGTCCAAGGATCTGATTCTTCCAAACTCTGAGACACAGTAACTCGCAAGTGGGCAGGAGGTCTCTGGGAGTGTCATCTCAACAAAAAATAGCCTTTCAAAGATCTGATTCTGAGATATATATTGAGTCGCCCCTACAAGGATGTGCTGGATCAATCTATTCCATGCCTGAAACACTGCCAGGTTGTATGGGGAAATGAAGTAGCAGGCATGCACACCCCCACACCCCAATGTTGCAGTTAATGCAGAGGCAGACAGAATACAAAAAAAACCCCAAGAGGACAGATACACTGACCAGAAAACCATGTAATGACCACATGACTTTAGACCACTTTCAAAAACACTGATCCATCTCCTGGTTTATTTCATTAGTGTAACCATGCTTTTAGTATTGGAACAAAAGGTTGAAGAAAGTTAGATCATCCACGCTATTCCTATGTCACCACAGTTACCAAACAAACCGTCTCCCATCTGTTAGACCAGTGGTCCCCAACCTAGGGCCTCCATATGTTCTTGGACTTCAACTCCCAGAAATCCTGGCCAGCAGAGGTGGTAGGGAAGGCTTCTGGGAGTTGTAGTCCAAGAACATCTGGAGGCCCAAGGTTGGGGACCACTGTGTTAGACCTACATTCCAATCACACTGCAGTGAAACAGGCAGATTCTGTTACTACATCTGCATGAGCGCAGGATAGTCACCGATGGACTATAAAAACAGGCTATTCTCATGACACGAGTCCCCTCTTGAAAGGGAAAAGAAACCCTACCTTGTCGAGGTGTCCACAGAAATAACCCTCACCTTCTCTTAAGTTTTCTCTGGTTGTTTTTTCTTGGGCAAGGTAGTCTATTCGAAATCCCACTGAGCTCGGCAGGGTCATCTTCAGGGTCATTGGGGTTGCTGACACTGGAGTTGGCTCTACATTTGGTGTACGTTCACTGGCCGCTTTGGAAATGGCCAGTTTTAGCCTCTTCTTGTCCACATCATCTCTTCCTGTGTTTCAAAGCATCAGAAGTTAGGAAAAGTCAGTCATAGAACTGCAGAGTTGGAAAGATCCAAAGGTTGTTAATCCAATTTCTGTTTGAAGACCTCCAGTGAAGAGAAGTCCGCCACCTTCCAAGATAATATATTCCACAACTGAAGGTGTGCTTTTTTTGTACTCTGAAAGGTTTTTCTAATGTCCAATGGGAATCTCTTTTCCCATAATTGAATCCACTAATTCAAGTCGTACTCTCTGAAGGAGACAGAAAACCCAATATTCTGTGTGAAAACCCTTTCAAAATCTTTAAATAGTTATCATACTATCTCTCAGCCATCTGGCCTTCAGACTCATTACACCCAATTCTCTCAATCATTCTACATGTTGTTTGTTGTCATGTCCAACTCTTCGTAACCCAGTGGACCAGAGCACGCCTGGCCCTCCTGTCTTCCACTGCCTCCTGGAGTTGGGTCAAAGTCATGTTGGGTTCTACATAGCGCTAGATTTTCAACCCGTTTAACATCTTTGCTGCCTTCTTTTGGACAAATTCTATCATGTTCTATCATTTTATAATGGGGGTCTCCAATACAACTGGGAGTTGGGTGCATGGGCACAGGCTCTAAGAGGCTGGCGCATGCCCAGAGATGATGGACCTCGTTCCCAGAAGGGAAACTGGGCAACTGACTCCAACGATGGTGGCGGTGGCAGCAGCACTGGCAGGACAAGGTAGGGATTCGATGGGGGTACTGGGAAGGAGGCTGCAGGACACGATGTGAGGGCAGGGAGGCAGTTGGGCTGTTTTTCTTTTTTCTTTTTTTAGACAGCCACCATATTTTTAAAAATCCTGAACAAACCTATTAACTCATTCGTATTTTGTTTTGAAAAACGTCGTAAATTTGTGGCTTGTAGTTTATGGTTTTCCACGAACCACAAACCAGGATGAGCCACCATTTTGCTGGTTTGGTGCCCATCTCTAATCATGATCTAAACTAGGGTGAGCTATGTTGGGTGTCTGTGGGATCTACCTTGTTAACCTCTCCAGCTAAGAAGCTGACATACAATGGCCAAGGGCAAAATACCATCATGTATGCTTTAAATAAAGGATTTCTGAACAGTGTGTAAGTTTGTTATGCCACTTCCTGGAGGGTGCTGCTAATTGACTCCAAAACAAGGTGCACGCATGCATACCCTGTGGGCTGTTTTGAGGCGGAAGAGCCTCACTTAAAAATACTGGTGGGTTACAGCAGCTTGGCTGTGACAACAGCAGAGAGGAACTCTGGAGACTTCCGGGGAGAGCAGAATAGACCTTATATGTCTTGATTACTCTTGATGTGGGCCATTCAAAAGCATTCTGGGAAGCTAAAGCACAGGAAAAGGATTCAAAAGTCATATTGCACAGCTCCAAAACTCGCTATACTTGCCTTCCAAAATAAAACATTAGATAAAGGGCAATTCCACCCTCCCATTTACTCCAACATACCCCTTTCCCCAAATAATAGCACAAAATGCCAATTGTTGAACTCCCATTACACTTAGTTAGTTCCCCAAAACATGACACATACTTATCAGAGTTGCCGTTTCTCTGGTCGCTGGCGAAGTGGCATCCGTCTCCAGCATATAGACAGTGGCCGGGGTCCCCAGTGACAACTCTAGCTTTTCGGGGGCAATCGTTGGGTGCTTTCTGTTACTGCGGGCTTGGGAGAGGTTCTTCAGTTCTTCAACTGTTGATGGCCACAAAAGGTCAGTGACTCGGAGCATACCATGAAATCAGTCGAACAAAAGGTATGAAAATTGTGCAGCACAATTTAAATATTTCACACTTTGTTCCAGGCTGAGAATCTGCCACTGAGTGCAGAGTCCATTTAAATCTCATGACCAATAGCTACAGATGAACATCTTTGTTACCTTCTCCAAACCCCTTTCAAAGGGCTCTAAGCAAGTGGGCCTACTCTGAAATGTTTATGTATGTCTTGAAAGGCCCTAATTGTTTAGGACTAGAATCTGAGCTGAGAATCTAGACTATGAGACTATAGTCCTTCTCACAGGGAAGAAATTTTCCTGTTACACAGTTCTGCTCCACATTCAGAGTAGATCAAACCCTGGAAAAGGTTTTTGTATTTAAATAGAGCACCAATGTGTGGTGTAAGTGACCTGCATGGGGGTGGTGGTGGAATCAGCTAGGTGTTTCACTCACACTAACTTTTTAGATTTACAGGCAGATTAAAATTCCTAGGCTTCCTTTCTTCATTTTCTGAGATCAATTTTGTTTCTGCTTGTCTCCTTTTAATCAGAAGGAAGATAAAAGCAAAGCAAAGCAAAGCATGCTGCTTATATACCGCCCCATAGTACTTCAAGCACTCTCTGGGTGATTTACAAGTTAATTATGCAGGCTACACATTGTCCGCCCCCCCCCCAGCGAACTGGGTCCTCATTTTACTGACCTCGGAAGGATAGAAGGCTGAGTCAACCTTGAGCCGGCTACCTGGGATTGAACCCCAGGTCGTGAGCACAGTTTTGGCTGCAGTATAGCGGTTTAACCACTGCAACACATGCACACACACCCCATGCATGCATGCATGTGCCCCCCATACACATTAATGGATGCTATATGGCCTTGTATGCATGGATGCTAGCTCCAGAGACTTTTGTAACCAAGTTTAACTTTTCCAAATAATCCTAACAATTTGTATTGTACTAATTCCAACCAGTACAGACTGGTCACTGCTTCAAAGAACAATTTTCAAACAATGTCTATGCAATATGCTTGTTAAAGATGCTCATACATTATGCTCATACATGCTTTCTTTATTTTCCCTGCCCTCTGTTCCTGCTACAAGTGAGTTAATTGGTTCTCTTGGAGGATAAGGGTATCAATGACAAGCAAATCGTCATGGTAGCTACCAATTACCTCCAGTCACAGAGACAGTGTTCCTCTTAAAAGCCAGTTCTTAAGGGAATAAGACTCACATGTAGGCTCACATCCTTGCTTGTAGGCCTTCCATAGACATCTGGTTGATCACCGTAGGAATAATGCCCTGGACTAGATAGGTCTGTAGTCTGACCCAGCAAGTCCCTTCTAATATTACTACCTCCTTGCACCTGAATCTATTTCTTTCTGTCAGTGATTTCTCCTTCTTGGCCAGCTTTCTAGAAGGAACCCTGATTGTTTGGCCATCAGAAACCCTGATTGGTTGTCTGCCTTCTTTAATTGTATTGCAAAGTCAATCTTGATATAGTTCTTCATCACAATGGGTGAGTTAGCAAAGACTTAGCGACATGAACCCAGTCTTGGCAACCCCATGCTTAACGCTGCAAACGACGACAACAACCCAAAGCCACACTTACTCACAAATTTCCTCTTCACCAAGAGGGCCTCCTGAGAGCCATTCAGGATGTAGATCTGCAAAGTGTACTCTTTCGTGGGACTCAGTCCCCCTACTGTCACTTTAGCTGTCTTGGTTTTCAACATGACTTCCTGTTCGGAGTCACCTGTAATAAGCCAAGTGGAGGAACAATGAAGGCAACCTCCCGCTAACACTTAGGTGGCAGGGTAAAACTGAACCTTGATTGTGCAAATAAATAAATAAAATAAATAAATAAATAACCTCCCCCTAACACTTAGGTGGCAGGGTAAAACTGGACCTTGATTATGCAAACTGGCAACCTTAGCAGGAAGATCTGTGACATCTTAGGACAGGGGTCCCCAATCCCCAGTTCACGGCCCAGTACCAGGCTGTGGCCTTGGTGGGATCAGGTTGCAGAAACAGATCTCCTGTCCCTCCTGCACAGAGGCCCCCCCATGCATGCACACATGCCTCCAACATACACACATGGAGGCACAGACACCCCCCACATACATGCACGGACAGATGAACATACACCCATGCATGCATGCATGTGCCCCCCATACACATATTGTAACCCCTCCACATGCACACCCCTCACCCCCCATGCACACAGAGATGTACTCTCACATACATGCAAGCACACACAGGCGCCCCACGCATGCACACTAAACTGTTCTGCGGTGCCAAAAAGGTTGGGGACCACTGTCCTATGACACCTTTGCAGTCCTCCCAGGAAACAAAGGATGCTCTTTGATTCTTCAAACTACTTTTCTTCCCTCTCTCCCAGAAACTCAGGACATAGAAACATACAGCTGAAATGTAATGTGATTGTCCAGCGGGCTCCCCTCAAAGGGTCAAGAAGGGTGGTATGAGACATTTGTCTTCGCATAATACCAAATCCTCATATACAAAATCCTCCACAGAGGTAGACGACTAGTAGATCAGCACTCAAATGTCTAGCACTCTCTTTTCCCCAATTCTTATGTCAGCTATCGGGACACCATATATTGCACACTGATGATGGTCAGACAATTTTTTACAAAGTTATTATGAACTTCGTCATTGCCCAGAGTAGACTTCAGTCTAAATGGGCGGGATGTAAATTAAATAAATGAATAAATGCCTGAAATCTGAAGTGCTGTCAGCACTGGAAGTGAGCATTGCTGGTCTTTAAAATGCCCTTGTAATTTGCCCATGATGTTCTTGACACTCAGAGGCCAGGTGGGGAGACGTGTCCTCCTGCCGCCTGCCCGGAATGGCCAGCCAAGCAGGGAGACGGTGGAGCTCCTTCCACGATTGGCGGGAGGGGTGGGAGGCTGGTGTGACACAATATAAGTAGATCAGCCCCTTCCGAGGGCCAGGCCCACATTAGGCGCACCTGGGATGGGGATATTCGTATTCATTTATAAATACGAATAGTCCCATTGCTAATGATAATCTTGGGACTGCATGGGAACCCTATGGCTCATTGAATCCAGCTGCTGACAATGGGGTGCATTGCCTGTTGTACAAAACAGAGGGAAGTTGTGTTAAACGTGGCAGGGCTCAGCAATCCTCTGGAGATTTCCAAGAAGTGGCAAGTCTGCAAGTAGTGAAAGAAACTTTTTCCCCCCCTTTCACCCTCATGCGCCCTTTGAGATGTCAACCTATCACTATTTCTGACTGGGTGCAAAGAGGTCTAATGCTATTTTCTACAGCGCAGGCATACAGATTAGTAGAATAGTTTGTTTTAAAATTAAATGGGGGAAAAATCCTTCTTGAAGAAGCACCAGAGGGGAAAAAAGAGTTTGTGTGAGCAATTACATGCTGTCATGAAAACAGAAGGATTATAAGCTTTCCAGGTGTGAATTGCTTCTCTGTATTTGAGTCAAAAAATAAAACCCAAAGGATGATGGATTTAGGACTAATTTATACGAACCATTGTTCTAATCCAGCAAAGTCTGTTTTAGATACTTATGCCCATCAGCTTCCTCTTTTCACCACAGAAGTGATGGACAGAAAGCATTCACACCTTTCGCTGCTTTTTGAATATCTATTTTTGTTTCCCTTTTTTTAAAGCCAAGGGTAATTAAATAGTTCACTTAATTAGATCACAAGGTGTCTGCTTCATCCATCAGGAATGCTGTTTGGCCTGCCAAAACCTTGGACCATTTCCAGAATAGGTTCATGTCTGGGGTTTATTTTCAACCCTTTTGTTGGCTTAAAACGCTGGAGTGAGAAGCCTGGAACTGTTCTGTGCTTGTCTGCGTGCTTAAAAGGAAGGATGGAAGTTTGAGCCTCGCGTGGGCCAGTTTGAAATGCGAGCAAAAAGAAAAAACAGGGTTGTTCTGTCATTGATTGCAAAGAGTGCAGAATAGCTAGGGTATCATCCCTTCCTCTTCATGCGTCAGGTTACAGTCCCCCTCATTGTGGCTGACGATGATGGAAATTGTGGTCTGACTCGTTTGGATATCAAGGCTTTTGGGACATGGCTGCCAGGGCTGAGCTCACCATTAAATTCCATGAGGCAGGTGGCTCTGGTAGTGGAAAATGTACATCTTCCCCTTCTGTCTGTCAGGGCCCCATGAGCTCTGAGACAGAATCCTAGAATCATGGAGTTGGAAGGGGCCTCTAAGGCCATTGAGTCCAATCCCTTGCTCAATGCAGGAATCCAAATCAAAGCAGATCTGACAGGGGGTTGTCTAAATTTCTCGTGAACGCCTCCAGTGTCAGAGCGCTCAACCCCTCCCCCTGAGGTCATGGGTTCCATATATAGTCTGCCCCCGTCCAGCAACCTAGTTTTGCTGGTTTCGGGACTGCCTCTTTGCCTCGGCCTGCTGGACAAAGATCTCTTCAAATTGGGAGAGGCCGTGATGCACTGCCTGCCTCCAGGCTGCACGCTCAGAGGTCAAGGTTTCCCATCTGTGGAGGTCCCTTCCTAAGGCCTTCAGATCCCACTTGCAGATCTCCTTGTATCACAGCTGTGGTCTCCCTCTGGGGCAGTTTCTCTGCACTAATTCTCCATATAGGAGATCTTTTGGAATCCAACCGTCAGCCATTCCCCACCCCCATGCACGCACATACAAGAGTCACATTTGGGGCCCCATTAAATTTGGTGTTTTACATATTCCAAGACAACTGCACAGCCATATCGAGAATGTGGATCCTTCCAGGAAGAACAATTACCACATACCTGCCATGGGCTTCACTCGCACTTTGTACCCACTGGTGTTCCCTTCGGTTTCTTTCCATTTCATCTGTAATCTGTCTTCTGACAGGACAGTCAATTTCAGCCGGTTCGACCCTGGAGAGGAAATATCATCATTCTTCTTCGAATTACCTGTAATCTGTCTTCTGACAGGACAGTCAACTTCAACCGGTTCGACCCTGGAGCGGAAATATCATCATTCTTCAAATTATAGGCAAAAAGGTATATTTTTGGTTATGCTAGTACAGATAGCAGAGCACAGAATTATACTAGTGTCTCGATTATGATTACTGAGTTTCACATTGCGGTAAGCAACAAAGATCTGTAGCTCCAAAGAGAAGCAGCTCAGAGCTTGAATTTTCACATATTGTACAGTAGCCCATACAATATGTGATTTTTCCCCCTTTAAGAATAAAATCACATAACTTCAGAATTTCTCAAAGTTTGAAACCATCTTCCAAACGTTCTCTTGAATTACAGAAGAAATGTATGGTTATTTTTAAAAAGTAAAGGTAAATGTTCCCCTTGACATTTAGCCCAGTCGTGTCGAACTCTAGGCTGCAGTGCTCATCCCCATCTCCAAGCCATAGAGCCAGCGTTTGTCCACAGACAATTTCCGTAGTCACGTGGCCAGTGCGACTAGACACGGAATACCATAATCCTACCACCAAGGTGGTACCTATTTATCTACCTGCATTTTTATATGCTTTCAAACTGCTAGGTTGGCAGGAGCTGGGACAAATGATGGGAGCTCACTCCGTCACATGGATTCAATCTTACGACTGCAGGTCTTCTGACCTTGCAGCCCAGAGGCTTCTGCCGTTTAACCCACAGTGCCACCACATCCCTATTTTTAAAAGATAGACAAGTACAATTTCACATAAATACTTGCAGATGCATACAGATACTCTACCCATGCTCAGGATAACAATGTGTGCTACTTACTGAACAGTGTTTTATCAGAATTTGGAAACATTCATTTGCGGACAGCCACCAGAATCCCCCAACCAGCATGGCCACTGGGACTTCTGGGAGGAAGGAATTCAAAAATAAGTAACTTTCCTGTTTTCTGCCTTTTTATATGTAATGTAAAATTTTTGTACAAAGGTTCTGCCCTTCCTGGGAGACCCACAGCTGTAGTCTGATGAGCCCAGAAACAGGTTTGGCGAAGAACTAAGTAGGAGGCATCAGATGCCCGCAAGACAGAATCAGTGTCATGTCAAGAATTCCAACATCATTACATCTTTCAGAGAGATAACGGCCATTCCAGGAGTCCTGGGTCCTACTGAACAGGCAACTGCAGCTGGAAGCTCAAGGCCACCTGTTCCCCAAAGAGTGCAAAACCCAAGGACGTGTAAGTAATAGCTTCTGACGGCCTAAAACTCAAGAAGAATAGTAGGTGAGTCATCATAGGCTGGATGGATGCAGAGCAAAAAAAGAGAGAGGGAGGGAAGAAGAGAAGGGTATGACTCATTGGACTGGGTTGTGCTTCACTTGGTCTCTGGCTTAGTTGTAGCCTCTCTTTCCAGCTCATCTGGCACCTTTAAAAGATGTAATCAAGGCCAGCCCCAGATACTTTGCTGCCAGAGGCAAAATGGTACCTACATCTTCAGTACAAGGCAATGAAAACGAATGGGGCCAGCAGTTGATTTTTACTTTAATGATGGGATGAAGCCACTGTCCACCTAGAAGGCCAGCAGACTAGTTTTGGTGAGGGGTAGAGACTAATATTAGAGGCTCCTGGACTACAACTCCTATCATTCCTCACTATTGGCTATGGTAGCTAGGACTGATGGAAGATGAAACCCCCAGAACATTTGGATGGACACATAGTGCCCACCCCCAGTTTAAGAGGAACAGGAGAGGACAAATGGCACACACAGAGAAGGGCTCGAAAAGCTGAGAATCACTTTATTTCTCTCTCCTAGTATTTAACATGCTTTAAAGATACTGGAGTTGAAATTCACACCTTGGCCTTTAAGTTCATCACAGAGTCTCTGTGCTGTCTGTCTGCTGTACATATCTCATGTTGCAATTGTTGCTGACACTCTTCCAAATGATCTGCGTGCGATAGATTATTCTGTGGGAATTGCTATATCCACTTATGGAAAAGGCTTCAGGAGTTAACCTCGAGGCAAACTCCGGAACCGGAGACCCGGAGGCAGTTCGTGTCGTTCTGGCAACTCCTGCAACATCGCTGGAACCAGTTGTATTGGCTCTTGCCTTTCCACTGGACCATTTCAACGACGTGGAGAGGGGGGATTTGCTGCTTGGGTAACAGCCTATCCTCCATATTATTTTACCCAGGCTTCATGCTCTGGAGAAGACACTCCAGCTTCTCATACAGTGTCAAAACAACACGGGAAGTAACAGTTACTGGTTATAAGTCTCTCCTTGATTGGCGTAGAGCATGACACCAGGGGCTACTTCTGATGGTGGAAGAGGTCATTGAACCTCACTAAGTAGATACCACCCGCCTGAAGCTGAGCAGCCCCCAGCCAGTGAGGTGAGCCTGCCTTAAGCCGGGCAGCCCCCAGCCACTAAGGTGATAACTCGCCATTGTCTGTTAACTTCATGCAGTGTGTGGGGTTTAGGGTGAAACCCGACAAGCAGATCGATAACCGTGCACCATGCAACAATCGTAAGCTCAAATTGGCCTCCTCAGCCACACTAGATGCTGTTCCAAGTCCTCCACACAGAGCACGTTACCATTGTCTCTCGAGACTTAAAGATGCCTAACTAAGTTCCTTGCTTGTCACAGCTCCCTATGCAGGGTCTAATCTCTGAGGAGGTCTCTTATGGATACAATCAGAATATAACCATGTTCTTCACATAGTGCGTAAACTTTGGATCTCCTGCTGGAGGAATTAAAAAATGTCATGTCATATTACTAAAATAGGCCTACAAAAGTTTGTTTAGCTTAAATGAGAATTAGATAGCTTCATAGAAATTGACGAGCATTGTTATGGGCCGTCAAGTTGCCTCTGACTCATGGCAACCCTATGAATGAGTGATCCCCAAAATATCTTGTCCTCAACTGCCCTGTCAAGCTCTTGTAGACTCAAGCCTGTGGGAGTCTGTCCATCTCGTATTTGGTCTTCCTCTTTTCCTGCTGCCTTCAATCTTTCCAAGCATTATTGTCTTTTTAAAGACAATCCTGCCTTCTCATGAGGTGCCCAAAGTAGGACAGCCTCAGCTTCAACCTTTTTGCCTCCAGAGACAGTTCAGGCTTGATTTGATCCAGGACCCACTTGTTCATCTTTCCGGCAGTCCAGATTATCTTCAGAGCTCTCCTCCAGCACTACATTTCAGACGAATCAATTTTTTTTTCCTGTCAGGCTTCTTTACAACAATATCAATTTTTTTCCTGTCAGGTTTCTTTACAACAACAGTTACTCATTATGATTTCTATGTGCTGCTTTCATTGATGGATGTAGTTGCCTCCCTATGCTAGCTATAGGTTTCTCATAGCCAAAGGTTGATTCTTGTGGGATACAGAATCAACTCTTGTTCCAGAGTTTAGAAAAGTTACTTTTGGGGACTAAAATGTCCCAAATTCCATCCTAACATGGATCATGCTGATAGGGGATGCTGGGACTGTACTCCTCCAGTGTAGCTTTTCTATAAGTCTTGTTGGTCGTAGCTTGGAAGCAACGAGTTACAAGTAACATATTTACCTGTGATTAGTTACTTTTGAGGGATCACAATGGTGTAAAAAAATCCCTTTCCAAAGTAATGTAAAGAGAAATAAATAAATTAGTTTATCGGTGTAGCAAGTCATGTTTTATAACGATTTTCAAAAGTAATTCTCCAAATACTTAAACCAGTTCCAAGCCAATTGACAGAAATGCTCAGGTTTCTTGTCATTCCCGTATGAATCTTAAGATTTATTTATCAAAGAAAGTAAAGGAAGAGAAGAAACATGCTAACAATCAATGCAACATGTAACACTGGAAGTTACTTTTCAAACATGATAAGACGCCAGGACAAGATGGCTTAATTTTCAAACATCGCAATAAACAATCAGAAGAGTTCACTTTTCGGAAGTCAATTCCCAGGGTCTGCAGAACATAACAGTTCAGTCTCACATCTGGGTGAGCTTTAACCTTTTGGGGATGACTGCTCTAGCTTCCTGTCAGAACATTATTTTGTGAAAGGAAACAAAGGCTGAGATTCACAGACTGCCCTGGCCAAAGCAGACCAGGAGGACCTCTCCAGAAGAGCCTTCATAGGGTCCTGCTGCATCTCCCAGCTGGAGCAAAGACATACAAAGTGAGAATTCATTTCCTGATCAAACAAGAGTCTGTTTTCATCTCTACAGAGCCTTCAGCCATCACTCGGGGATCTCCGAAGGGAAGACTCAAGAATGTTGGCAGCAGAATATAAAAATGGAGAGATTATCCGACTCCGCCTGTTACCCGGGAGGCAAATGAGTTGCACCCCCTTGAATGGCCCTTTCTTAAGCTTTTCTTTTCCATGTGGTTATCACCTCGTTTTACGTAGGGCTTGAGAGGACAACGTGAGAAGGGGGGACCAGGTGGAATCTAAAATATACTGAATGAATAACAAGGAGAAAAATGAGAGTGAACTTGTGCGAGAAATGGGTAATTTCTGTTTGCTGCTCTGGAGAAATGTCTCTTCCTTCCTTCTCTAAGTTGTAGGCCTCACTGCAACAGTAAGAATGTGGCTGGGCTTCATCAATTTAGGCTATAGCACAATCTATAGATGTGTGTCTCCCAGAAGTGCACCCCCTTCCCCAGCCAGGATGGCCAACTGCACCCTCTTTACACAGACACATTTTCAAGTTCTGGGCTGCAGCTGATGATTACTTGACCAAATGTTGTCCAACAAGGATGGAAGAACATAGACAACTCATATGTGAAAGGGCAATTAAAAAGAACCATGTGGCACAGATTCGGGTTTTAGGAAAAGTAAATTTTCCTCTACAATTTTGTAAAATGGACAATTAATGACAGGAATTTTCGAATAATTTTTCCTTTCTTATCTAAAGTTAAGCTGATTCATACAAGGTTTTCATTGCTATTCAACTGCAACTACCTGTTAATGACAGCATTATAAAGGCTATGGACTCCTCACCACTTACTGCTCTGCATATCCTGGGATAAGGGTGTGATTACACAGCAGGAAAACTATGAATGGATCTGCTGTGAAGCCACTCCCAGGAAGGTAGGTTTCCCTGGGGTAATTCACTTCAGTCAACTACATACAGTAGCAGTCAGTATAAAAAGAGGAGGAAATAAGCCATGTTCGCAGTTTGTTAATCATTTGAATCATCTACACTACACTTGATGCCTGGGTCTGCTCCCCCCTTCATCTCCTCTCCTCTCCTCTCCTCTCCTCCCCAGCAGCTGTGGCCTCTCCTCTTTGGTCAGTTCCAACCTTCCTGTGAATCCACCCTCCAACTAGGTAGCAGGAAGCATTTTTTTAAAAAAATCGGAGAAAGAAAACTGCAGGGTTGGGACAGAGGAAGAGTCCCTAATGTTAATTTGACCTATTAGACCAAAGCCCACACAGGAAAGTCAGTATGCTATCCATCCTGTGCACACGCACATGCACATAGAGTGGGGGAAGAGAGTGCATTCTACATCTAATGAAGATTCAATGTAGCCACTTAAAGAAAAGAAAATTCTGAAACACCACCAATTTGATAAAGGATGTAGTGCTCTCTCTTTGTCATGCCTGAACACAAAATGCTAGATGGAGAACAAACAGAATCTAGTTTGGTCAATCTTAGTCCTCACCAAGGCTCAGTGACTGGACTTTCCAGGAAAGGTTTTGGCTTTCACTGAGGCTCCAGCTGTCAATCTCCTTTTGAGTTGATGCTGCCTTCTTTTGCATCAGGAAGCAGTGAAAAGCATTCTTGTTCAAATTCCAGCATTTTAATACTCCCAAATGG